ACGAATGTCAAAACGACAGTTAAATGGTAGACATAGTATTCGTTTCGACGTGAGACAAAAGAGGGTAGGCATAGAGGTTAGATTTTGAACGAGGTCAAAAAAAAAAGACAAAAGTTTTCATTTGAACGACAGTCAAATGGTTATAGTTTCGTTTCGACGTGAGACAAAAAGAGGTAGGCATAGAGGTTAGATTTTGAACGAGGGTCAAAAAAGAGACAAAGTTTGATTTGAACGACAGTCAAATGGTAGACATAGTATTCGTGTCGACGTGAACAAAAAGGTAGGCATAGAGGTTAGATTTTGAACGAGGGTCAAAAAAAGAAGACAAAAGTTTAATTTGAACGACAGTCAAATGGTAGACATAGTTGTCGTTTCGACGTGAGACAAAAAAAAAGGGTAGGCATAGAGGTTAGAGGTTTTTGAACGAGGGTCAAAAAAAAGAACAAAAGTTTGATTTGAACGACAGTCAAATGGTAGACATAGTATTCGTTTCGACGTGAGACAAAAAGAGGGTAGGCATAGAGGTTAGATTTTGAACGAGGGTCAAAAAAAGACAAAAGTTTAATTTGAACGACAGTCAAATGGTAGACATAGTTGTCGTTTCGACGTGAGAAATTAGAAAGAGTTTAATTTGAACGACAGTCAAAGGCATAGTCAAAAGAGGGTAGGCATAGAGGTTAGATTTTGAACGAGGGTCAAAAAAAGAAGACAAAAGTTTGATTTGAACGAAGTCAAATGGTAGACATAGTTGTCGTTTCGGAGGGTAGCACATAGAGGTTAATTTTGAACGAGGGTCAAAAAAAAGACAAAGTTTGATTTGAACGACAGTCAAATGGTAGACATAGTATTCGTTTCGACGTGAGACAAAAAGAGGGTAGGCATAGAGGTTAGATTTTGAACGAGGGGCAAAAAAAAAGACAAAAGTTTAATTTGAACGACAGTCAAATGGTAGACATAGTTGTCGTTTCGGCGTGAGTCAAAAGAGGGTAGGCATAGAGGTTAGATTTTGAACGAGGGTCAAAAAAAAAAAGACAAAAGTTTGATTTGAACGACAGTCAAATGGTAGACATAGTTGTCGTTTCGGTGAGACGACAGTCAAAAGAGGGTAGGCATAGAGGTTAGATTTTGAACGAGGGTCAAAAAGAAAACAAAAGTTTAATTTGAACGACAGTCAAAAATGGTAGACATAGTTGTCGTTTCGGCGTGAGTGAAAAGAGGGTAGGCATAGAGGTTAGATTTTGAACGAGGGTCAAAAAAGAAGACAAAAGTTTGATTTGAACGACAGTCAAATGGTAGACATACTTGTCGTTTCGGCGTGAGTGAAAAGAGGGTAGGCATAGAGGTTAGATTTTGAACGAGGGTCAAAAAGAAGACAAAAGTTTAATTTGAACGACAGTCAAATGGTAGACATAGTTGTCGTTTCGGCGTGAGTCAAAAGAGGGTAGGCATAGAGGTTAGATTTTGAACGAGGGTCAAAAAAGAAGACAAATTTTGATTTGAACGACAGTCAAATGGTAGACATACTTGTCGTTTCGACGTGAGTCAAAAAAGAGGGTAGGCATAGAGGTTAGATTTTGAACGAGGGTCAAAAAGAAGACAAAAGTTTGATTTGAATGACAGTCAAATGGTAGACATAGTTGTCGTTTCGACGTGAGTCAAAAGAGGGTAGGCATAGATGTTAGATTTTGAACGAGGGTCAAAAAAAGAATAAAAGTTTGATTTGAACGACAGTCAAATGGTAGACATAGTTGTCGTTTCGGCGTGAGTCAAAAGAGGGTAGGCATAGAGGTTAGATTTTGAACGAGGGTCAAAAAAGAAGACAAAAGTTTGATTTGAACGACAGTCAAATCGTAGACATAGTTGTCGTTTTGGCGTGAGTCAAAAGAGGGTAGGCATAGAGGTTAGATTTTGAACGACGGTCAAAAAAGAAGACAAAAGTTCGATTTGAACGACAGTCAAATGGTAGACATACTTGTCGTTTCGACGTGAGTGAAAAGAGGCTAGGCATTGAGTTTAGATTTTGAACGAGGGTCAAAAAAGAAGACAAAAGTTTAATTTGAACGACAGTCAAATGGTAGACATATTTTTCGTTTCGGCGTGAGTTAAAAGAGGGTAGGCATAGAGGTTAGATTTTGAACGAGGGTCAAAAAAGAAGACAGAAGTTTGATTTGAACGACAGTCAAATGGTAGACATAATTGTCGTTTCGACGTGAGTCAAAAGAGGGTAGGCATAGAGGTTAGATTTTGAACGAGGGTCAAAAAAGCAGACAAAAGTTTAATTTGAACGACTGTCAAATGGTAGATATATTTGTCGTTTCAACGTGAATCAAAAATAGGTAGACATAGAGTTTTCATTTGTACGGGAGTTATACATTTTGTTTCTACGGAACTAGAAAAGATAGTCATAGGCAGTAGCGTAACTAGAGGGTGTGAGCCCTCACTCCCCCCTCTTCCCATGGGTGATACTTTTATGGCCCTGCACTTTGGCGTCTGTTGTATAAGCCTGTATATTGAAATAAAAGTGTTTTTGATGTCGGGAGACTACTCACAGTGAAAGGAACTTTTTATTTCGTATAACATAAACTATGGTATATTTATTTAAGCGATTGATATCTTGGTTGAACGATAAACATTATTCTGGACTGTTTTATCAATGCAGACAATCTGAAACCTGTGAACGGATCCAGGGTGTGTTCTCTTAATTCTGTAGCCCTGCTATATATGGGGGAGACACATCTTTTTTGTTATCATATAAAATTTAGTTAGTTGTTTGTTATATAAAATTTAGTTACTCGACTGAAGTTCGTTTGACGGTATGTGTTGCTCTGCTTTTCATCTTTGGAACCTCATTAATATATACAGGGTGTATCAAAAATACTTTCACGAAATCTGGGACAAGTTCCTCAAACCAAACATGGAACGAGGGTCAAAAAAGGAAGACAAAATTTTTTTTGACCGACAGTCAAATGGTAGACATAGTTGTCGTTTCGACGTGAGTCAAAAGAGGGTAGGCATAGAGGTTAGATTTTGAACGAGGGTCAAAAAAGAAGACAAAAGTTTGATTTGAACGACAGTCAAATGGTAGACATAGTTGTCGTTTCGACGTGAGACAAAAGAGGATAGGCATAGAGGTTAGATTTTGAACGAGGGTCAAAAAAGAAGACAAAAGTTTGTTTTGAACGACAGTCAAATGGTAGACATACTTGTCGTTTCGACGTGAGACAAAAGAGGGTAGGCATAGAGGTTAGATTTTGAACGAGGGTCAAAAAAGACAAAAGTTTAATTTGAACGACAGTCAAATGGTAGACATAGTTATCGTTTCGGCGTCAGACAAAAGAGGGTAGGCATAGAGGTTAGATTTTGAACGAGGGTCAAAAGAGAAGACAAAAGTTTAATTTGAACGACAGTCAAATGGTAGACATAGTTGTCGTTTCGACATGAGTCAAAAGAGGGTAGGCATAGAGGTTAGATATGTCCGTAAATACTTCCTTTTCGAGTGAAGTTATTAATGTTGGTTATTTGTTATTCCATCTCTTCCAAACGTTGCCTCATCCGTAAAACAGACTGAAGAGACAACGGTCGGCATTTGGGGCAATAAACAATCGGTAAAGTTTCTCCCGTGGTGAGTGATCAAATGCCGAAAGACTCTGCACACGTTTCAAATGATACGGATACAGGAGCTGCTTTTGAAGTACACCCGCACGGAGGGTACTTCAAAAGATGTACGACATGCTAGGGTCACTTGACGTGTGCTGATATCTGAATCGTCTCCGACAGACGGTAGAATGTGTTCTTCGTAGTCAAGCGTACGAGCGGACCTTGGTCTTCCTCGATCCATAGATTGTGATGTCATTGATCCTGTCTCAGCAATGCGACGATTAACACCAACAAAGGTTGACTCGGCTGCCTTCAGTTTGGAAATTAAATCTGATACAGCCGTCCAGCCTCGCGTCTATCACCATTCGCGCGGCCTTATGTAAAAATCATATCATGAATAGCCTGCCATTGTTAAACGGAACCCCTCTGTGTTCACTCGCTACTACACACGTTAAACGTCGAAGACAGACAAGCCACAAACGTACAGGAATGACAAATGTAACCTAGTCTACATGGGAACACAACGCCATCTACTGTAAAATTTCTTTAAACCGAATAACACAAAAATTTAGGATTTGCGGACATGTTTATATACATTTTTTACTTGTTAGAGTGTGACGTCGACAATGGTGAAATTCGAACACAGGTAGCATATATATATATATATATATATATATATATATATATATATATATATAGCCAAGAGGTTATATCGTCTGCTTCCTAACCATGCTACATGTGATCGAATTTCACCATTGTCGACGTCACACTAAAACAAGGACAATGTATATATATATATATATATATATATATATATATATATATATATACTAGTATATGATTGGTGTATATGGAATGAATCTAATAACCAACAAATACTATTCTTAAAAAAAGAGTGCTCAATAAAGTAGAGCAGATATAATTATTTATTTAAAAAAAAAATTATAACATAAATATGTTATAAAATCACTACAAAAATAGCCATTTTGTTTCAACACCCACGGTGTTTTATCAAGTGATGATGTTGAATGTAAAATAAAATCTATTTTAAAATCTGTTTTATTTTGCATTCAACATCATCACTTGATAAGACACCGAGGGTGCTTTTGAAACAAAATGGCTATTTTTGTAGTGATTTTATAATATATTTATGTTATAATTTTTTTTAAATAAATAATATATAATATATATATATATATATATATATATATATATAAATATGGTTGTAATAGAGATAGAACGTATGTAAATATAAAAGTGAACATTGAAATCAACACTCAGAGGCGACAGACTGTTTCATGGTAAACGCAGTCGCCAGATGCCTGATGATTGCGTTTAGCATAAAACAGTGTCGCCTCTGAGTGTTGACTTCAATGTTCACTTTTATACACACACACACACACGTATATAGAAAGAAAAAAAGAGATAGGTAGATAGATAGATAGATAGATAGATAGATAGATAGATAGATAGATAGATAGATGGATGAAGCCGAGAGGTTAGAATGTCCGCTTTCTGACAATGAGAACCGTGTCCGAATTTCACCATGGTTCACACTAAAACAAGGACAAAACTGCATATAAACATATGTCCTCAAATCCTACATATATATATATATATATATATATATGTGTGTGTGTGTGTGTGTGTGTGTGTGTGTGTGTGTATGTGTATGTGTGTGTGTGTTGAAATAGACCAAGAGACAGTAGTATTAAAAAGTGCTCAATACACATATGAAATAATAAAAAATTAACATGTAGAGATTTTAAGTATAAAAATGTAGGAAATCAGCCGATTTCGCTAACTTGGTTCCAACCTTTCGCTGTCTTCAGACGATTTCGGTTGATAGTTACAGAAAGGTTGAAACCAAAGTAGAGGAACAATATGAATTTTTATGCATAATTAAACACTAAATTCACATCGTTTATACCACCTCGTATCTCGGTTGTTTTATTCTACCTCAGCCGCTATATTCACCTGACTTTGCATCAACCGATTACTACCTTTTTAGATCGCTGCAAAACGGTTTGATGAGGAAAACTTATTCTAATGAAAACCAAAACAATAGATTTTCTGCTATCCTTTAAGATGTGTATCCGTATCAACAAATGGCAAGGGTAATAATGGGTGTGCGTTATGATGCAGTGGCTATCGGCTTAGAATAATAAATTAGAGAGCCGAGTTCAAATTCCTGCCTGGTCCGTTTAATTTACTTACGCTCAAATATCCTTGGGTGCTGGTATGAATCCATCTCGTCTCGTTCCAGCTATGGGTTGAACAGCAGGACAGGCCGAGTTCTATAGGCTTGGTTGTCATGCAGTCCACCGCAAGACACGGCAACCTACTGCGGTAAAATTTCTGCCTCATCTTAAAAAATCAAGCGACAGAATCGCCCAGGCGTGTATCATGTATGACACTTGACTGACTGAATGTTAATATCAGTTGTTTCCGTATAAGGAAATATTTGCATTCGTTTACCGAGCAGTACTACTGTCGATTGAAATTTATAAAATCTTTCTCTTAAAAACATTTTAAATAAAATAGGTTTCTCACACCCAGTAGCTGTTATCGCTCTTTCCAGTATTGATGGACGTTTCCTTCTTAACCTTAATACATGGTTTAGCTTTTGAAAAGTATCTTTTGCTATTACAACGCGACTTCAGTATGATTTCTGAGGAAAGGTTTGATTGGTTGATTGTTTTTATTTAGCGGCTTATCAACACCTCTATGGGTTATTTAATGGCGAAATCTAAATATTTTGTACGCAATTTTATGACAGATATTCTGTTCATAATTTTATATTTTCAGAGTAAACATATGTTTTTTAGATATATATATAATTTGTATTATTGGCGATTTAAAAAAAATTATTTATTTCACAAAAAAAAATAATTGTTATACATTTTTAGTGTTGTATTGATTGTCGTTTTACTATAAAAATATGTTCCAGGTAATTTTACTATAAAGATGTATTGTTAATTTTTGTTGGAGGGGGTCACTATTTTCCCATAGTTGGGACCCTAACTAGTGCTGCCACCCCGGGTTAGGGTGAATCTGGGAACAACAGCAGTTAAGAGTTGGTTCTACGCTCCAATCTCTCGATCAGAGGCCTTACTACCGTATATAGTTTATCATCATAAGCAGAACGGCTTGAAAAAGGTAGTAGTGTGTCTACCCGTAACCTCCTGCACGGTTTTTCCCTTCTCTTAGACTGGTTGTCACCCAGCGCTAAAAAATCCAATCTAAACTGCTATTTAACCTATAGCTAGGGGGAACAGGCGGATTCTTTACATTGAGTCAATTGCTTCGTCCACCGCAAGGAAAGTTGTCTCCTTGTGCCGTGCCAGGAAATTGTTCTCCCCGGAATCGATCCTTCAAATCTACAAATCAACCATTCGCCTTGCATGGAGCATTGCTGTCATATATGGTCTGGAGTTCCTTCTGTTTCCTCGGAGTTCTTGATAAGGTCCGCAGACGGATATGCAATATAATTGGCCCCGATCTGATAATTGCTCCGATGAGCTGCTTTCCCTGGTTCCCAGACTTCGCGAATCAAAGCGTCCTACGGGGCAGGCATCTCGCTCTCACCCTTTCACTGTTGAAACTGTTAAATGTAGCCGCCTCTTCTACTCCAATAGCTTCATATCTCGCACTTCTCGCCTGTGGAACTCCATTCCCTATTCCTGTTTCCCTGATAGCTATAATCTCCAACTTTTCAAATGTAATGTCAATCGACATCTCCAGTTGCCTTGATCTATCCACTATCCTTCTCCTCATCCTTTCCTCTATCATTCCTACCTGCTCTCGCTCCAAATCCTTTATAACCCCTTGCGTGCTAGTGGTTTCCCGCCTTGCTAGGGGTGAAATGCTTAAATAAAAAACATTTGTGCGAAAGTGAACGCAACTAACTACCTCGGAATTTTGAACACGGCTTCCCGATTCTACTTTCAGCGCTGATATCCGTTACGCTACCTTCAGTTCCTTTTCTTTCTCTTTTTGTAAGATAACGTTGTTTAAAATGTTACGGCCTTATTTAATAGCTAAGGAAACGGTGTAATCTTCAGCCGATGCTAATTATGTTTTTAATGTCTGTAATGAGGTACTTGTGATAGGTTCCTTCGGTATGTAAAGGTGAAACGTTTGAGACGAACAGAAATTTTACAAGTTCAGAAGAAGACCTAAGTCTCTTTTGTTGTGAATTTGAAAATTACTTCATCAGGTGGAAGAAAATGTCGAGGCTTTGTTCGAAGATTCGACACCGACTAGAAATAACTTTCGCGCCATTATTATTAACTGTTGACTGTGTGTTTATCATTAAAAAAAAAACGACTTCCTCATTGGTGTGCATCCTTTCCCAGTGGGATTGCATTTAGTTCAGTGACTTTACAGTAAATTATTAATTTAAAAAGAAGAGAAAGTTTCACTAATTTCCATTGTTTCTGTTAGAAGCAAGAACAGCTGCAGTTTTAAATTAAAAAATGAAAAAATGTAAAATCGGGATTCAGACGGTTTCCATGTCAACAGCAGACGACATTTTCCCATTCGAATAAATAAAAATACACTACAATACAAATATGTACACAACCACTAATTATCTTATCAATGTTTTTCTTCCACAGAAGAAATATGTTTCTTTTCGAAAGAAAATTCTTTCAGACTAAAATATCAGGTTAAGTTTATGCGTGTGTATGTCTTTAAAATATTTTTACCTCAAACAAGGTAATAAAGCCATTAGGGAGGCGGGTGGATTACTGAGTCATATATATATATATATATATATATATATATATATATATATATATAATCAAATGAATAAATGCACATATAAGTGTTCACATACAAAACAAATACATATATATATATATATATATATATATATATATATATATATATATATCCATCCTAACAATGCTCAATGCTAAATAACAGAGCTATTGAATATATATTAGTAAAAAATACATAGTACCCTACACCGCCAATACGACTCGCACTTTTATGCTATTGATTATGTTTGGCGGCGTTAGGTACAATGCATTTTTACTAATATATATCAAACCAAATTCATAAATAATTACATCGGTCACACAACTACATGCCTATCCCGACGACTTACGTTACACCTATCTAACCCTAGCTCTATAAGAACCTATTTAAACACACACAGAAACTTACCAGATTCTATTCGAAACATACTAGTAGAAAACATAAACATAATAACCTCATCCACCTGTAAAAAAGCATTAAATATAATGGAAGCCCTAATAAAAATAATAAAAAAGCAAAAGCTAACTCTTAACAATATTAATTACGAACAAGGCCACAATGTGCTAACCGTGTTCGGAAAATAAAACATCTCTATAACACACTAAAAACATGCACACAACGCAAACTCAATTAAACTGAAAAAATAAAACCATCCTTGATAATGGCTAAAAGTATAGCCGCAAGCGCTCGGAACTATAAAACATTTGTACAGTTTCTACACACACTGTGTCCAAAAAAGAAAAAAACTTTTTCGAACGCAAGAAAAATTTAACAAAAAGCTTAACTGTAGCTGTCGTTTTTAATGAAACATTCATAAATGAAGGATTGCTGCCTAAATACACAATATATATATATATATATATATATATATATATATATATATATGATAAGCAAATATAAATGGATATAAATCCGACAGAATGAAGAAAATATCTGGAAAAACAAAACAAAAATCCTTAAAATGCGATTATGTTGTTTTTAATATGAATGAAATATTGACGTCTGACGTTTCGGTTTAATAACCTTCTTCAGGACAATATTCATTAAAAATACAATTAACATAATCAGTATAACACGACGAAAAACGATGGACATAAAAACAAGTCTTATCCAAAACAAATAAATGAAAATTTTAAATGATCAGCTTTCCGTTTGAGCGTGGTCACGTTGTCGTCAAATGGGCGACGCTTTCAAAATGTATTCTTAAAAATTTTTATAAATTTGATTCCGATGGAAAGATTTTTCATATATACAGTTCGTTAGAAAATCTTTTCTGTTCTTGTAGGAATACGCGGAGACTAGTAGATTCCTGTATCTTCGGATAAGCATGCAGTCCTCCATGTAATAAAATGAATTCAGGTTTGTATTTCCAGTGGACAGTATGATAAGCAAATATAAATGGATATAAATCCGACAGAATGAAGAAAATATCTGGAAAAACAAAACAAAAATCCTTAAAATGCGATTATGTTGTTTTAATATGAATTTTAACATTTCATTCATATTAAAACAACATAATCGCATTTTAAGGATTTTTGTTTTGTTTTTCCAGATATTTTCTTATATATATATATATATATATATATATATATATATATATATTAGAGAAAGATGTATGACAAAGTGGAAAACGTTTTCTTGTTACGCGTTTTGCCCTTTAGGATTTCATCAGACTAAAATAAGGCAACTAACAGGACAGAAGACGTGATCGTCAACAGGCAGCTTAAAATCAAAGGACGGAATGCTCATATTAAAAAAGAAAAAAATTCTTCAATGCTGAAGCG